ATCCACAAAGATCAGCAGATAGCACTGCATGTGTAAAGCAATGCACCTTAGTTAGTTAGTTAGTTTGGTCAAGTACTACAGCACACTGTTGCTTGAAAAAGACAATGAACCTTGAAACCCTACAAAACCCGTGGAAACCACCCCACAGGTCACATACTGCTGATGGGGATTTGCTGCATTTGCTTGAATTTAACTTTGCCTACATTATATTTAGCTGCATAAAAATTTCCAATCTACGCAAAAAAGTGTTGAATGGCAGGAAGATATTGAAGTCACTCACTGTACTCTCTTTTTCTGTTCCTCTTATAGAATCAGCGTTAAAGGAGTTTTAGGATTCCTGTGATGTCTAGGCTGATGGAGGTAAGAAAAATTTGAACTTTTGCTATGTTTATAACTGAGTGTTGGTCATTAAACCAAGGTTATTTTTCTTTGTACATGTATCTTCAGTCTCAAGCTTTCAGGTTTGAAGTTAAATAGGAATTTTGAGTAGTGGCTCTGGGTGATGTTGGTGGTTATATAATATTTAATAATAATTATTAATTTATTATGGGCATTTATTATGTATTCTTGGTGGGGTGGTCAGCAGGACTTTCATAGTGCATGTATAGCCAGGTTTTTCCAAAATCTGTCCGCATTCCTGGGATACTTTTGTTCTTGCAACTAATATGCATGGTATGTGGTTGCGAAGGCCCTGGTGTTGAACAAGTTGAAGGTGATAGCCCTGTGGTCATCTCATGAATTCAAATGTCCAAGGCAGCTGGAACAATGTTTGTTCAATACATTGATTCAAAAACACACCACATGTAATTTTCTGTGCCAGATGCAAGACTTTTCAATTTTCCTTGCCACTAGAAATCTATTTAAGCCAAACAAAAGTAAATCCTGATTTCAGTTTAGTGCAGGATGAGCCTTCAGTGAGATAAAATTGATTGCAAAGTCTATAAATTTATAAGTTTAGTTAATCCAGGTTTTAACATTGCTTGTTCCATTTCTCTCATATTTTTGAGTGCACATTTTAAGCACTATGGTGGTTTTATTTTTAGTTATGTTTCTAACCATTTTACGTGAAAGCTTCAATAAGCTTTAAAGTAAGCTTTTTCATGATTCACTGTTGAGTCTCAACAACCTTGGGTCACTAAACACGGATCGAATAACCAAGCTATAAAATGATTTTGGTGAGTCCACACATTGAGCATTGTCATGTTCTTCTGTTTTCATTATGAGCTTATAAAGTAAGCAATAATTTGTCCTTTTGAATAACATAGTCAAATTCAATTTGACTCTTGTTTAATGTGTTGTTCAATTCAATTTCTACATTCATTATTCCATGGCACTTTCCTTTGTTGATACTGGAGTTAGAGGGGCTTTCCTATTCATTGATGCATCTGCCATTCACTTACAGTACATATAACCTCTATTCAAGAAGGAAGACAAGTGTCTGTTGGATAGAGGGCAGGTGTCTTCTGAATAAAAGTTGGGCTGGGGATATGATTGTTAACTAGTAATAGTTGACACTACAGCTGCCCCCGTTCTGTATATTGTCGGTCAGTAGTATTCTTGCTTGTTGTGTAGCTCTTTGAAATATACCGATTCACAATGAAGATTTTCACACATATTCCATACAATAGGCGTGATAAATACTGGAAACGCAAGGTTCAATGCACAGTTTCAGCTCGATTTACACAGCTTTGATCAAAACTTTCTCAGTTTCAAGAATAGTTTATTCTAAACCATAAGAAAAGATTTCATTAGAAGTTGAATATTTCGCTATTTCTCTTTCACTTTTTACATTCAGTTCATTTTATTTGCTGGAAAGTAAACCTTAGAAATTAAAAGGACGTTTGATTGATTCACGCTAGTGCATTCTAGTCTTATGTGAAACTTTATAACGGAAGGACATCTGTGAGCAGGGAATAAGTCAGCACAGAATTTGATTGTCGGCGAATTTCTGTAATCGTCCATCGTTCTGTTAGTGATAAGCTAGCCGTTGTTCACTCGTCTTGCTTCTGTTGCTTGTTTGGGGCTGAGTCTTATTCCTGTCAAAGAGAGAGAAAGAGTGTCTGGCAAAGTTTCCAATATAAATCAAAGGTCTGGTAAACTCTCCAAGTATTTATATATACCCAGTTAAACGCACCTTATAACCTCATCTGTGCTTAACGAGTGTCTTTTGGTCCATAACTTTCAAAACAACTGCTCCACAGAATGTCACTGCGTAACGCAAAAGAGTATCGAAGTATGACTGCACAATAAATGTCACAAAATCTACCTGAGCGGTCCCTTAGGGATTTTCTGTCTTTACGTCATCCTAACCGTTTCGTACTTGCGGGTGCAAACAATAGAAACATCAGTGTCCCCGATTAGTAGGCCTGACGGCAAGCTAGAAGACTAGACACTTAAATAAAGTTGTTGATTGGTTGATTGATTGATCATCATTACCTACCGATTCCTCGCGGCCCCTGTTCAAGCAAATCCAGATTTTTTCTATATTGACTGTATGACCGTATATTTCAACTGTATGTACTTTCCTTAATATACGTGCGAGTTACTAGAGTGCCTCCTCAGGATTTCGCCTTCTGGGCGAAATCCCTGTGGGGGCAATAATTAACCAAAAGAAACAACTACAAAAAATCATCATTAACTAATCTGTATGACATTATATTTACGGTTAATTCACAAGATGCATTATTACTGGGCTGCCCCTTTTCAGGGCATGCGCAGTTATTTATTTGGGTTTCGGTTTTCTGTGCAGAAAAACAGTCTCCCCGGGGGAGGGAAGACACGAGGGTCTGGTACCGAGAAACGATGTTCTCACAAGTGGTTTCATACTGTACGAATTGTTCCCTTGCACTGATCCTTTCATGATTATTTTTTTGGTACAATGTACCTACCCCCCCTTCAGAAACCCAGAAGGCGTTGCGAATCAATAAGGCTATTTGTGTTATTCAAAGCGATTCACGCCCATGTGATCAGAAGTAAACAAGGGCACATAGTACATCATTCAGTCTTTTTATCATGCAAGGACTGTGAATAGTGTTTCAAATTATGGTTTAGCTGGCATAAAGTGGCATAATGTTCTGCCATAAAGAGAAGTTAGTCACAGTAAGACAAAAGGTGAACTCGAGCAAATCCTTAACTCAAATTAGTATCACAGTAAAAAAATATGTTATCGATCATTTCATCTATTTATATTGTTCAAAGTACGTACCGATGAAAGTAACATAGGTCCCAAAATGCAAAGGATTTTATTTTTTTAAGTTAGAGAAAAATACCAAGAGAAAAATCTTAAAACTGAGTATCTTTTATCTTGTAGAAAAAATAATGCGTTTAACATGAAAACGGTTTTCAAGTACACTGTAGACTGAAAATTAGGATCGTCTCATTGTAATCAATGAGGCCCATGGATCTGGATCAATAGGCGGTTGGCTGTCTATTTTAGTAAACTTCTCGATTTCATACAATACAATATTTCTGTCTAGTCGTTTAATAGCAGAAGCAGCCCAGTGAATTCACCTTTTGGCGAGTCTAGTTATAGATTGATTTAAATGAGATAGTGCGGTTTGTGAAAGCTTCCATAATAATTATTGTGATAAGTGTACACTTAAAAATATCGACCCTCTTAAATTTTTTGATTGCTAAGGGAACTGTCCCCTGAATGCAAAGATTATGTGGAAGTTTTTCTTGGACAAAATTTTGTGTCCCCTGAATGAAGGTGTCCCTTGAATAGAGGTGTCCCAAAGGAGAGGTTCCACAGTATTATGAAAGCAGTTCAATCAATCACAACTATAAGGTAAATGTTCCCCCACACGTCCTAACTTTTTGTTACTGCTAGTATTTGTGCAAATGTCAATAATTGAAAAAAAATTATCTGTGTGATCATATTAGACTCGCACCTGTTAAGGCCCCCAGTCATGCCAGACTGAGGCAACTGGTCACCTGACCTGTGAAAGTTGGCAACAGTCTTTCTCTTTCTGACTTATTCAAGAACAAATTTGAGGGCTGGTTGGTGATATATGAATCTCCAGGGGTTGGCAAGACTGCAGACTCTGGATCAGGGAAGGACTGATTTGAGCCCTTTCTGTGCTGTCACTTGACTACCTTTGACAAGAAACTATTTTTTTATTACCTCTTCCCTCTTAGTTCTTTGATTTTGTGTTTAGTGACGGTATATTGCAGGGAGCAAAGTTGTGATAGACTACATAGAGCATCCCATCCTGGTGGGGGTGGGGGATGGTGGGGGGGTAAAACTCCCCTTGTGCTTCATGCTCTTGGAATGAATATAATCTCTTGCTGTGGGGTGCATTGGCTTGTTTTAAGTATCTCTATATTCCATTGAAATGCTGAGTGAAAAATTGATGAGTTTGCTGATCCCTCTCAAGAAATGAAATGGGCAGTTTTCAGTGTGGTACTCAGGCAAAGCAGTTGCAAAATAATTGTTGTTGAGCGCTCCAAGGAAAGAACCTCATGTTTGACATTTTTATTGCCAGGTCATCTCTCCCTTAATAACAACTGTGGGATTCCCATTACATATAATGAAACTTGCTGCTCTTAGCCATAAAAAAGAGGAACTGAATTTTTTAGCAGTATTGTACTGTTTTAACTTTTAAAAAAATGTTTTTATGCAAAATGGTAATTTTAATTACATTATGTCGACCCTGTTGGAACTATGGAGAAATACATGTACGTGTAATACCACAGGTAGCCCAGGCTTGGAATATGAGTTTCTGTTTTACATTGTGTCAGTTATATGCAGTCGAAATAATGACTTGTACTGTAAAAAGGGACACAAGTTTACAAATGTAGTTATGAATGTGTATGAATCGTCTAATAAGCTTATCTCACTTAAGCTAAATGTTTCTTTACCTCCTGTGTGATCTACTAACAGCAGTGATTGGAAAGAGAAATCTTGAGTTTCGCATCTTAATTACAGTTTTTATGAGCTTACCAGTATTAAAAAGTCTTTGTTACATGTATAAAACCCTTTGGTAAATTTGCTTCTCCCTTTTCAGGATTTGTCATCATTTCCTAGCACAGCCTCTACATCACAGGAAGACCATGAAAGCATTTCAGGAACCACTTCCTCCAGGAAATTGAGAGTTACTCTGTTAAGCAGTGAATGGAGATCAACAAAAGGAGGCTTGTCAACCATCAACCGAGAGCTGGCCATTCAGTTGGCAAAACATCCCAGCGTGGAGGTCAGCATTTATCTTCCTCAGTGCAGTGAGGAGGATAAACGAGTTGCTGCATGTCACAGTGTTACTCTCATTGAAGCAGAAAAAAGGCCAGGTTTAGAACCAGAACTCTGGCTGTCTTGTCTGCCAAAAGACCATGTTGTGGATTGTGTGATAGGACATGGGGCTGTTCTTGGCCGGCAAGTACAGATTATAAAACACCATCATCATTGTAAGTGGATTCAGGTCGTTCATACAGCTCCCGAAGAGCTTGGAATGTACAAAGGATATGAAGAGCACATTTCCAAAGGTGAGAAGAAGCACCAAGTGGAGATTGAACTCTGTAAATTGGCTGATCAAGTTGTAGCGGTTGGACCCAAGCTGGCTGAAGCTTTCTCAGGTTATCTTCGTCCCTGTGGAAAAGATCAAGATGTTCTCAATCTTACTCCGGGCATTTTCTCTGAGTTTGCTGATGTAAAGCAAGCCTCTCAAGAAAGGAGTTCATTCAGTGTTTTGGTGTTTGGACGTGGCGACAGTGAAGATTTTCAGCTGAAGGGATATGATATCGCTGCCCAAGCCATTGCTGAGTTGAAAGACACGACCTACAAACTTGTGTTTGTTGGGGCAACAAGCGGAGAAGAGGAGAAAGTAGCAGACTTGTTACTTAAGTATGGCATTGATCGCAGTCAACTCAGGGTGCGTCGTTTTAATGAAAGCAGAGAGAAGTTAGCCCAATTGTTTTGTGAAGTAGATCTTGCTATAATGCCATCCCGAACTGAGGGATTTGGTCTAGCTGCCCTTGAGGCTTTATCTGCTGGTCTGCCTGTGCTTGTCAGTGGGAACTCTGGTTTTGGAGAGGCTTTGAAGAAAGTTCCTTTTGGTTCGAGCTGTGTGATAGAGTCAGAAGATCCTAAAGAATGGGCCAATGTAGTCAAAGCTGTCCGCCAGAAAGACAGGGAGATGCGACTTGGGGAGTCTAAAGTTGTAGGTAGAGCATATGCGGAAAAGTACATCTGGGAGGAACAGTGTGATAAACTCATAGAAAGGATGAAAATCATCACTTTAGAAGGTCAGTTAAATTAGGCACCGTCTATTTCTTCTTCTGTGTTATTAGACTTGGGAAACAGGTGTGACATACACGGCATTTGCTCATAAAAAGTTGCAATGTGGCACTCATTAACGTTTGAAAGCATTTTTTGACACACCTCCCGTTTAGACGGAGAACTTTTTAAAGAGTCACGGACAGTTGCATATCTGTTTTGACAGAAATCGCTAATAAAGTTGCAAAAGAGATGGGCTTGAGTTCTGAAACAATGACAAATACTTTTTGCTGCTCACCAACTCGAGTTCCACCAAAAGGCTATACGTTTCGGTTAGTATTGAGGAATGCTGACAGAAAGGGGGGGAATCACTTGTCACAAATGAAATATTTATTAAGAGTGAAGGGCTGTCATTAAGAGGCGGGGACCGGGGATTTCCCCTGGCTACTATGAATGTGGCCTCCGGCTCTTGTTAGCAGTAAATACTGTTTTGTAAACATTTTGGTGTACTTTAACAAATTAGCGAATAATTTTTAAACCGCTCAATAGATTTTTTTAAAAAATTCGATTCTCGAGATTAAGCGTCGTTTTAGGAGACCTTTGGGTCGCAAGATTATTGATATATTGTACGGCAGTAAATTAAGGGCTACAATTCGCCAATTTTTTATCTGAAGATTCGTCTTAACAAGTGAAAGCCTCTCATTATTCAAGGGAATTGTCTCCCAAGTTTCATTTTCATGTGAACAGCAGTAAAAGAGCGCCTCGATACATACTAATCAAATCCTTCTTTCTAGCAATCGGCTGGAGCTTTTACATCTCCATGGGAGGTGTTAAAATGTTTTGCATGCGGCGTTGTTTGCGAACGCGAGGAAAGTTGATGTAGCGAATTTCAGGTTAAAAATTAGGTCATTTCAAGACTCCAACCTCGAAAATCGACATTCAAACTTTTATCGGATGTCCTGACCGTCGCTCTGAAAAGACTTGTTTTGAGAGCTTCGTGGTGTAAGTACCCATAAAATTTGGAATTAGGAAAGCCGAAACTGCAAAGAAATGTAGCTAGAATTTTGCTGCACGAGCACGAGAACAAATCATGAAAACAAACCTTTTGCTTCTGTTGTCGTGGTGGTTTTGAAAGCCTGGTTTCCATACAATTGTTCGCATTACCCTCATCTCATCGCCTCCATTTTTGGGCGATGTAAGTATATATTTAAGTATCTTCATCTCATTGCCTCTATATTGTGGGGCAATAGAGAGGATGCGGATGATTATATAAAAACCAGCCTATAATCGTATTTCAGTTTTATTTAAGGTCGTGTTGTTAGCCTGTGTAGCTTATTGGATCAGAAGGAGTTGGCGTTTGGCATCCTTACTGTGCCTGCGGCTTTGCAGCCCAAACAGGGAAAAAGCACTCATGGAATGAAGGAGTAGTCATGCGAGATTAACCCCCCCCAGCTACTCAGATTCCAGAGTTATTCTAAGGATTATCGTTTAACTGCAAACATAGCATATGAGTCGTCATAGTAACAAACTCTGATTTGCACGAGTTGTCTTTCGAACTTGCGATCGTCCATCTGTAGGATCGTCTCTGTCGCCTGAAAACGCATAACAACGAGTTTTCCTTTCCTTTTTGAACCTGCATGTGGTCCCTAACAATTCAATTCACCATGGGTACATTTGACAAATTAAGAGAGAGTTGGAAATATCGCGATGAATTTGATGAATGAATCCGCGAGGAAGGAACATGAATCTATTTTTGATTATTTGTTACTGCTTTCATCTGTGTGGTTGTTGTAATAATCCAAATGTAAAACTACTTAAAAACGGGAACAGTAAACTTCATTGTAAATTTGCCAAACATGTAAGTCATAGGACTGTTTTACTTTTTAAAATAAGAATGCTTCGTTTGTACATCTGCAGTTTTCTTTTTTGTTACAAAGTTTAACTTTTCACATGTAAATACAACAGAAAGATGACAATGGTTTGTCGTAAAATTGTAGCCCCGGCTTTCAAGAAATTTCCTTGTATGTTGTTGTGTCAACGGTTCATTTTCAGAAAACCGACAGTGATTTCGCTTATCTTAAGAAAGTCATCTGACTTAAAGGTTGATTTCCAGTGTCGCGTAATTTTTAGGTGCGTACGTGCGTAAAATTTACGCGCGTTAATGAAACGGAGGCAATGCATGAAAGGTCGCTCGTAACGGTAAAAGTTGAACCTCGCTCAACTTCTCGTTTAAGCTCAGCACTTTTTATGTTGCCTCTATCTTATTTACGTGATTAAAATTTATGTGCGTTAACGTACGTAGCCAAAAACGCGTCAGTGGAAATCAACGTTAAGACCGCAGTCAAAGACACAAAGGGTGCGTTCCATTGGGATGTTCCGGATCAGGATCAGTGACCCGTGATCTGAGGTCACTCGTTATCATAGTGCATTAAAGGAACCGACGAATCCACTCTAGGAAAGGATTCATCAGTTCACTCCGAGTGATCTTAGATCACTGATCCTGATCCGTATCATACCAAAGGAACGCACCGTTAGTGTCCTTGTTATAGTGTTTATGCGGCAAGGTTGGCTCAATAGTCTACTTTTGATATCATCATGCTTGATTTTAATTGATCGAATACGGAAAGTAGGCTATCGAAGTGGCTTTGAACTCTTTATTTTTAACACTGGCTAACCTCCGTTCAACTAACTGGCCGTGTGACTTTGGTAAAGAATGGTGTTACTACTTTTTTGCAGTTCCTAATATAGATGAGCAACATTCCGAGAAAGCCTCTGTGATCTGCGAAGATGAAAAACCCTTTTCTTCTGAGAAACGTCTTCATAAAGGTATTCTTGAATCTTAGAGATATTAACAATATATTTATTGATTACAAGAGCTAACTGTTTTTGTTTTCAAGTAGGAAATATACTGTAGTCTAGAATGAGCTGGTTGTGTATTTAATCCGGAATATTGAAATTACAAGGAAGGCTCAAAGCACTGAACAAGCCTGACTTGTCTAAAAAAGAGTCAAAATTCTTTAACTCTATTGCTTCTTCAGTTTTTGAAAATTCAGACTCGTTTCAGGTTTATTAGAAAGGTGAAAAATTCCTTAACTCTGTCACAGGCGAGCTTTGTCAGTTGAAAATACGGTTGCATTTATATATACAACATACACGTTTTACAACTTAATCAGTGCTCCATTATGTACTGTTTGTATGTGACAGAAGTTAGTATTTCTCTTTTAAGTGATGTGCATCAAGTTTGGTATTCGTTCGTGCTGAAATTCGAATGTTTGATGCCTTATTAAAAATGGATATACTTCTGTGCATTCATGCGGTTGATGAAACCTCGAAATTCCTAAAATTAACACAATTTGGGGGCTTGGAAATGTTGTGATATTGCTACGGGCTATCTACCCTCCAACGATTTTCTTTGTTAGGATTAATTGTCAGCGCATTCAGCGTTAAGAATACTTCTCATTAAAAAAGTTCTGTTGATTTTTAAAAGGTCTTAGGCTCAGTTATTTGGGCAAACGCTTAATGTTAGTTGATTTAATTGCAGGCGCAACAAAGAGATCCAGGTCTTCAACGAAAGGCAAAAGGCCGTTATCTTCGAGTGCTGTCTCAACTCCAAAACAACCGAGACTAACAAGATATGAAGGTAAAGGTTGTTTTTGGTTTATTTAGAGTACGGGTTAGTATTTCATATACGTAAACTTCCTTGATTCTTGTATGGTTTTGTGTCGTTGGTCTTGTGTTCCTAAAATGCGGTTTCATAAGCTGCATAACTTACATAATAAAAATGTGGTGGTTCCTTTTTTACATTGTCAAAGATTCAAAATCTTTTATTTCGAGCATCAACCTTAATATGGATTCGCTGACAAAGAGCTTGAGTTCAAAACGCCAGCTTTTCAATCCTTTTACAATGCGGAAAAGTTAACTTTAAAAGTCAACTCTGTTGATTAAACCCAAACTATCATGTCTCACCCCGCTTTCCGTTTCCTGGCGGCCTCTCTCTTCGTTTAGCCTTTGGTTCATTCTTTGCATTCTTTTACCCCAGTAAAAGTGTGACTTGTTGCCTGGTCCCATTGCCCACTTATGTCCAGAAATGCATGCAATGGCGAAACTGGCGAAAAATCGCCAGCCGCTGGCGATTTGAATTGGATGCCAAAAGTGGCCCCTTGGAAGCTAGCGATTTTGGCGAAAATGGCGATTTTGGCAAAAATCGCCAGAGGGGTGGTGATAATAGCGATAAACGTCCCAGACCCTTGGAGACTGGCAATTTTGGCGAAAATGGCGATTGTAGCGAAATTGGCAATTTTGGCAAAAATCGCCAGAAATGCATGCAATGACGAAAATGGCAAAAAATTGCCAGCCTCTGGCGATTTGATACGCCATTTTTGCCAAAATCGCCACTTTCCAAAGGGCCCCTTTGCCATCTCATTTGAATTTTTGTTTACAGTTTGGCGATTTTGGCAATTAGGCGCCATTTCTGCCATTTTCGCCAATGCGTGCATTTCTGGACATATCTCCCATTGCCGTGGGGGCTCATGGCTGGAAGGCGCGGGTTTACCAGCCAAGGGGGGCTTGCTGTAACTTTGTCTAGGGGCTTGCTTTGCTAAAAGGGGAAGCCCCTGGGCATCCCAGGCACTCGCCTCCACTAAGCTACGCAGTTGTTAAAGAGAGGTGAAATATTTCTTAACTCCTTCTCAGGCGAGCTTTGTCCACTGAGTTTTAAGTAAGCTCTGTTCCTGCCTTGTAAAGTTGCCGTGTCACGGTCAGGAGGGGGGAAGCTACTTCCCATACATTCTCTTAAATGAAATCCAAACGATGTTCTCACAACTTGCAAAGCGATCAGCAAGGGTCATGCCAGCGGATTTGTGTACTGATCATGCGCATTACGTCAAAAACCATAGATCAACGGTCTTGAGAAAAAACAAAAACATGGCAGTTGAAGGCGGGACTGTTTCTCACTATTATATTTTGGTTCTCTTCCCCCCCCCCCCCCCCCCCCCACCCCCCCCCCCCCCTGGTCACGGTAGTCTAATCTATTTGTTTAATTTTCTCATTACTAGCTTAAAGGTGGATTTCCACTGTCGCGTAATTTATACGCAACAGCAGAAATCTAGTAATTGATTACGGATATACTTTTCTGCAGTTCAGTAAGTGGTTCATAAAACCTCGAAATCCCTCAAAGTAAGGACTGTCGGGGGGCCTTGGAAATGTTTTAGTATTGCCTGGCTATCTGTCCTCCAATAATTTTCTTTGTTTTTAGCCGTAAGCAGGATTTCTTATTAGTGTATTTAGCTTTAAGAATATTTTTTTGTCTAATAATCTTTTATAAATTACGAAAATATCTTCGGCAAAGTTAACTGGACAAAAGTTGTTCCTACGGATGGCAAGGATGGACATGGATTGAAACTTGAAAAAATTGGGCCAATTTTTGTAAACATTTTAATGCTATGCCTTCAGAAATTAAAAAAAAACTGATATTACGTAATTTCGCGATTTTGGCAAGACAGTATTTCGCAGGGTTTTATTTTCGCGATTTCACTAGGCAATTATAGAAAAAGGCATTAAATTTTGCGATTAAAGCGTTCTCAACCTCATTTTATTTTTCAAAAGTCTGAACTTTTTAAAATATCGAGATAAAATGAAACAAGAAAAACGCATATTAACGTTATTTTACAACAGAAGACATAGTCAAGGAATGAGACTTACCAGTTAACCAGCTAATAATTTGTCGGTATTTGAGTATATATTGTAGTTGTTTTAATTTTTTTTTCTGTGATTTTAATTTTCTGTGTGGGTATTTAAGTTCGCTTGTTTAAATCTCGCGGGAATTTTTATTCGCGGGTCTTTAATTTCGCGATTTTTCCACAATCACGAATACCGCGAAATTAAGTGCCAACAAGACGCTACGGAGCGTACACTTCGGCGTCGTGAGTGTGGAACTAATTAATTGTAAATGCGGAGGAATAGTAAGAAATCAAATATGGCAAGAGTAAGGTGTTAATTTGTGAAATTATGGGATTTGTCAGGATATTCTGAAAAGAGCAACATCCAAGAGGCCTCCTTGCCAAAAACTAGCATTTCGGGACAAACTGTCTGCGAGATATTAGCCCAGTTATGCTCTGATGACTTCATACAAATCCTTCTAAAAATACAATTCTCTATTCTTCTTAGTCACATCAGGCTTCAAAAACAGCATAGCAGTCTCAATGTACTGATTAAAGATATGTAAGGCATGGGTAAGGAATCAATTACGTTGAGCATGGAATTGGCTAAAACTTAAAGTCACGAGTTCGAATGTTTTGAGGACAATTATTCACTGACTATCAGCACGCAGGGATGTCGGATTAACAAAAGGAAGTTTAACACCAAAGGAACATAGCCTTTACAGAGCTTTAAAACACGGCATCCACCAACACAAACTTGACTTGAACTTTGAGTAAAACTAAACAGCCTCTACCAATAATAACAAACTCTCACGTGAACTTCAGATATCTTACGGCTTCCGCGAACTTGTAAACACAATACCTGAAAATCGACCTTCGTCACACTTGACTAACCACAGCAGTCCAGCCCGTGGGAAAAAACTTAGTTCTTCAAAAGAACTAGCTTGAAACTTGTATACCGTTTGACATAAGGTTCTAGAAAATACTGAACAGCAGGCGAATAGTAGTAGCTTTTCGACATATTTTATGATTTCAGTAACTGATGCAAATCTGCTGACTCATGCTGAAATGTAAACATGCCCTAATTAATTATTCATGACAAATCCAAAAACGTAGGGAACGTTCGAGAAAGTCACACAACGCATGAAAGCAATTTTAGTACGTAACACTCAACAAAGACAAAATTTCTTTTTGCAGCGTTTTGTAACTTTAAATTCATCATAAAACAGTTCGAAAGGAGGGCTCACTCGTGAAATGTTTTTCAACACTCGAAGAGAAATTTCGTGTCTCTGCGCGGCCACGAAATATCCTCTATTTATTCCTCGAGTAATTAAAGACTAAACTCGAAGTGATCTCAAGATATCACGAAGTAGTCCGGTCTCATTTCGTGAAATAGTTGAAACAAGCCGAAAAGTCACGAACTTGCACGCCCAATCTTGTCCCGAAACTAGTGCATCATTTCATAACTATTTTTCATATCCCAAACTACCTTGGGTCGCAGTAGCGCAATCGGCTAATCCCTCAACTTAGAGTCTCCTCTGATCTGACGGGTCACACAGGTGAGTCGGTTCAAACCCCGGGAAAGCCAAAATAATAATTCTTTCTTCCTCGAAAAAGTTTAAGAATAAATCAAAGAAATCGAAGTGATCTCGAAATATCTCGAATTAATTCGGGTCTCACTTCGTCAAATAGCCAAATAAAACCGAAAACCTACAGACTTTGCATGCCCAATCTTGTCAAAAAATTTTAACTTTGATACATTCCTGAGCGTCGCGAAACCTTTACTTCGCGCTCCGCCGAAGTAATAACTTAGGTATATACTCGTGACGTAATTCCTTTAATGTTGGTAATTGATTAGTTGCAGGTGCCGGCGCAGCAAAGACAGCAAAGAGATCCAGGTCTTCGAGAAAAGGCAAAAGGCCGTTATCTTCATGTGCTGTTCCCGCTCCAAAACAACCGAAACTGTTGAAAGAGGAAGGTAAAGTTCGTTTCTGGGTTATTTAGAGGAGGGTTAGGATGGTCTTGTGTCATCGGTCTCGTTTTTCTAAAATGCGGCTTCACAAGTTGTATAGCTTACGAAATAAGAGTGTGATAGTACTTCCCGCCGGCTCAACTTGGCTCATCCCCATTATTCTCGCAGCCCTATCGCCTAAACAGAAGCACTCCTGAAATAAAGCGTTTCTCTGGGTTACTTTCCTCTGCTGCACAGGGCAGTGGCTTTATTATTGGGTCCCCTTTTTCTAGTTTGACATCACGAGGCTATAGTTTTGTGGACTCGGTTGCACTTGGAGGAAATCGTGAGATTGTCATGTCCGACACATTCTCCAAACTTTCAGCGTGCTTCGACTATGATATGAGGTGCAAGTGGAACGAGGCCAAATTAAGGCTGAGACCCTGGTTATGCTTTTATCACGTTACCCTCACTGTAAGAAACTAACTATTTAGCGGTAGCCTCTAATCCATCAGATCAGCTTCCCACGCAGACCTTCTCAGGGCTTCGTCACACCCTAGGAAAGTCTGCGTGAGAGGCTAGGCTGCTAAAATCGAACCACATTCCTTACCCTTTGTATTTGCGGTGTAATGAACAAAGCAATCATTGGTCAGAAAATTCAAAATGACCTTATCTTAACTCTGTTTTGGAACGCAAATGGTTCGTACCTTTTTTTGTAAGAAATGAACCTTAGAAGAGAAATGTTTTTTGAGAGAGTGTATGTCACACAGTTTTCACAGTCTTAAAAATGTAAGCGTTGATATTATTTTCTTTTTCGCCAAATGTTACCATTGTCTCGGTGAAGCTTATTGTGTCACCGAAGGTGTTTTAATTTATGTCATCGAAACTATTTACTTGTCTAGACAGTAACATACTTACCTGTAAACTAGTTATAGCTATCGCTAAGTGCCAACGAGCAAAGATTTTACCTATACGTGAGCGCTGTTGAATTTGTTTAGAAATGTCGTGAAACGCTTAACTCGATTACATTGAAAATAGTGCAAACTTAAAGCAAGGGTTACACATACACCAACCCACGGCCGGTCCAATACCTCACGTATGCGCACAGCCATATCACGCGGGCAGTGGCAGCCACAGGCAGCTGTTTCGCCCTTATTGGGACCCACCAGTGCGGCAAAGCCGTTGGTTAATGAACGGGGAAAACCCGCATCTCAAAAACCTCTCAAAGATGAGTGCAAAGCAGTCTGTCAAGCACCAGCTCCACACGGTACATATGGGAGCTGTTGGCTAGCAACCGCACAGCAGTTCTACCACGACATGGGCGGGGAAGGGGGATCACGAGTAAAGCAAGGGGGACACATACACCAACCCACGGCCTGGCCATTACCTCACGCATGCGCACAGCCATACCACACGGGCAGTGGCAGCCATGGACAGCTGTTTCGCTCTTACTAAGGCTCATCAGAATGGCATAGGCGTCGGTCAGTGACCAGGGAAAACCCGTGTATAAAACACCCTTTCCTGCTGAGGCGAGTCCTTTAAGTGCCAACTCCACACAAACATGTGGGAGCTGTTGGCTGGGAGCCGTACGGCAGTTCTCCCACGACATGCGCGGTGAAGGCAGATCATGGGTTTAGTGTATGTGTGCCCTCGTTTTGATTTGCCTTTTGAAAATAGTGAACTAAACTGTTTCCTGCATAAAAAATTTGAAATCCGTTCTTAACGCAGCAACTTTTTCAAATTTTGTTCGCGTTTTTCTTCGAAGTCGCGCGCAAGTCATTTTGCGTAAAATTTAGTGGTCTTATAAGCAAATTTAGGGCCTGTTTACGTGGAGTAGGGGACCCCGGTCTAGTGGGGTTGGTTTCTTTTGTTTTCACGCTCTGGGGGACACAAAACAAAAGAAACCTACCCCACTAGACCGGGGTCCCCTACTCCATGTAAACAGGGTCTAAAAATCCTCGAAAAATCATATTGAAGTCCGCGAATATTCAACGTACAGACTTATATTTGGTCTCTTTTTAAAGCTAAAAAAAATATGGTGCGCCAATGAATATTTTGCTTCAAAGACACGAAAAATTTCGCTACGTTATTATTTTTCTTAGTGGTATGCAATAAAAAATTCCGGCGGGCAAATGCGACAGATATCGCGTAGGATGGAAATGATCCACCCGACAATTGGTTGAAGACGGGATGAGCACGGGACTCACAAACACGCACACGGCTCGTGGATTCTCTGTTCTGTATCACGTGTTCGCTCGAAAACAATGCAATCTCTGTTCTGCATTACGTCATGGTTGCCTTACATTGACTATTTTCCAATTGCCCATAAAACACTCTGTTTGCCCCCCAAATTTTGCATAACTTATTGTCTTAAAATGCTCTTGGGAAAATGCAATACTCCCAGGAGCATTTAAAAACAATGGTTTATGCAGAATTTGGGGGGCAAACAGAGTGTATTATGGGCAATTGGAAAATAGAGAATTATTCTATTTACATCGATTCGAGATTTTTTTGCCCCTGGAACAATCGTGCACCGCTCTATTAGGCTGCCACCTCGCGTTTTTGCAAGGCTGCTCGTTGGCAACAAAATAAGGAGAATTAACGGCCTTTCTCCTAACTGCGGAGAGAAAAGCATGTCACAGATTAAAAATAATCCGTTTGGAGTGTCAAGTCTTTACGTTTGTGCTTATTGACAAATATTCCCTCACTTTTTTATTTCCAGCAGGTTTGGACAACTCGGTTGTTGTTGAACTGCTCAAAGCTGAATACAAAAGGCGCTCCCAGTTAAGACCTCTTCTTTGGGATAGCACTATCGAGTTACCCCTAGAGAACGTTTACACGAGACTGAAAATCATTTCAAGAGGAAAGTTAGAGAGTGGTAATGACGAAGTGAACGTGACTCAAATCTTCAAGATCCTTGAAAAAGGTAAGGATGTCATGACGCTTGTCGAAGGAAGTCCAGGAATCGGCAAAACAACGTTTTGCCTTAGACTTGCTTATGACTCTACACATGGAAAAATCCCAACAGAGTGTTCCTTTCCCAAGTTTGAAGTTGCGTTGCTTCTGAAATGTCGAGACATTGATGGAAATATAATGGATACCATAAGGAAACAACTTCTGCCCAGAGATATCGAGGAGAAGATTGTAGAGAAATTGTTGTTCTTCTTGAAGGATATTCATAACCAGGAGAGAATTTTGATCATTTTGGATGGTTTGGATGAGCTGCCTGAAAAATCACGGCACCATGTCGATGAGCTGCTTCACAGAAGAATTTTCCCATTTTGCTATGTCTTGGCTACGTCACGACAAGAAAGAGGAATTGAAGTGCGAAAAAACTTTGTATTTGACATTCATTTAGAGATTAAAGGGTACACGGAAAGTGATGCTATTGTGTACGTAAGAAGACACTTCAAAACCATTGGTCAGTCACCAAAGGGGGAGAGGCTCATTGAGGAAATGCAACAGAACACCTTCTTGAATGCACTCCAAAATAACCCGTTAAATTTACTTCTCCTTTGTGTTGTTTATGAGGACTACGAGGGAAAATTGCCGACTTCCCGGACGGAACTTTACCAAGTCATTGTCCGATGTCTTTTGAGACGATACTGCGCCAAACGCAACTTGCCAGCTCCTGAAGATGACAGTGTCCTGGAGAAAACGTTTGAAAAGGAAATTCTTGCGCTGGGAGAGATAGCTTGGTTTTGCCTGTTGAATGATCGTTATGGTTTCCGTGAAACTGAATTGGATGAGTTTGAAAGGCAATACCCGGGATTGGTAGCTCGTGAGCTAGGCCTTCTTTACAAGGAAGAAAGTCTAAAGAGATTAAAGCCTCAACATGAGTACTGCTTTCTTCACAAGACCTTCCAAGAGTACGTGGCTGCTGCGTATATCGCAGAGAAGTTAGTAAATCGGCAGTTTAATGTATTCGAGGACATAAGCTTTTTTGACTTGGTAACGAAATATCCACAAGTGTTTATTTTTGTTTCTGGGATGCTGGGCGAGAAAGCAACTGTCCTATTCACCCAGATTGGCGAGGAGTTAAAGAAAAATGACTGGGACTGGAACTGTTACAACCATTGCAGTGAGGAGGGAGCTACTTTCTTTATTGAAAGCTTTAATGAGAGTGGACATCCTGAACAAACGGCAGCTTCTCTATGTAAAATTATACCTTTTCCAAAGGTCATAACCGTTGAGTCAGATAAAGATTACAATGCTTCTTTTGTGGAGGTTTTAATGGCTTGTAAGAGCTTTTCAAATCTACAGACACCTGTTGAACTCCATGCTGATACATGTTCTTTGGAGGAAGTAGTGAATGGCGTATTGGATTATATAGAATCCTGTCCGCAGTTGACAATCGTAAGTGTTGTTTATGATGAGGAATCTTTGATGTCATTTGATAGAGATCGTCTTTGCAAATGGTTTTCTGCGACCAAAACTCTATCAGAGTTTACTCTTAAAGTCAGATATTATTTCAACCCTGCGGAGGGCGACCTGCTGGTTCAAATTGGACATGGGTTGGCTTCATGTCGAACTTTGACAAAAGCGACGTTTTCTTTGTCTGGATATGCTTATAGCGAGGGTTTTTTCAACGCGCTTGAAACTGGATTGGCACCGCTGACGTCTGTTGGTCTCGAGGTACATGGCTCAATGAAGTACACTACGACACCAGCCTTACAAAATTTTTTGTCAAATAAATCCTTGAATTCTGTTTCTCTTTGTATTGTTGGAGGCGTGCAGGATTTGTTAGTAGCTGCTGTTAGTGAAGCACTGGCAAGACAAACAGTTTTAAAATCTCTTGATCTTCATTTTGGTGGACCGCTGAGTTCCTCTAGTGCCAGTTTCCTGGAAAAAGGGCTTATGGAAAATAGTTCTTTGAATTATATAAGACTGTGTGTCCACAGTGAGCTCCCTGGTAACTGGCATTCTGTAGTGGAAAATCTTCGCTTGGCGAAAAAGTCCCCCGTTTGCTGTTGTATTTATCCAAACACCTTTAACAACGTAGTAAATAATTATTTCCATTCTGTTCTGGTTAGGAAAGGGTTAAATGTAAAGCAACACTTAACTGTTAACGTCTGGGGTGAGATGAAATGCGAAGCGGCAGAAGCTCTCTGTGAAGTCTTGGCACCTTCCTCCATTACTGTTCTCACCTTAAACGTGCGTGGAAATTTGACAAGTGAAATTTCTAATTCCATTGCAAGATGTTTGGAAGAAAACAAAACACTATCTTCCCTGTCCATCTATTTATGGGGCGAGTTGACAACAGAGGAAGGTATTGTTCCTTCCAGCCTTTCAAAAAACAGTCGCGTTCAGTTAAATGTACATGATGTGGGTATAGGCCCAGCTGAGTCGAACAATGTTCCTGTTATCCCTACCGATAACCCTGCTGCATTGAGAGTTTTTTTCACCAAAGTCAAGGATAAAAGAAAAGAAAAGGTCAGTCTTACAATCAATAACGATAGTTATGGTACCACGGAGTGGACAGGTTGTCTCGGTGATGCTTTGGCAGAAAATCCATCTCTGACCACGCTTGATCTTACAGTCAACAGCTGCGTCGTGGATGCAGATTTGGGAGAAAACCTTGGGAATAGTTTATTACAAAGCAGTTCTTTAACATCTCTTAGTCTCACATTCAACTTCAGTAACATGAAAGAAGGATGGGAATCCAAACTGGGTGAGCGCTTGATTAAAATGGCATCTTTAACTACACTCAGTCTTGAAATAAACGGCGACGGCGAGTGGAATCAGAAGGATAGTTTGAGTCGTACACTCAGAAGCCTTGACTATGTTAAGGAGAATCAGGAGAATGGTTTGAGTCTGACTAAACTGAGTAACGTGCTAGCGGCAATCAAATCATTATCTTCCCTTTCTGTTGCAATCCATAGTGCTAGCATGTGTTCATTTTGGGATGAGGTTGTAGGTGACTGTTTGATAAAATGCACGTCACTTAAGAAACTTAGTCTCACATTTGACGCGGGTGAATACGTTTATTGCAGTTTTAATGGCCTTTGTAACGGCTTGGTGACAACAAGCTCATTAGATACATTATGTGTCGCAATTTTTACTAACGGCCCCACTGATGGGTATTTGTCAAGTTTGTTTTTTAGTCTTAATCAAGGTCTGTCATTAAACTGGTCAGTAAGCACACTGACACTAACAGTAACTGCGGCAGCAGATGAAACAGGTTATATTAGTCAGCTGTTCAATTTCGATCATGGACTGTCAGTGAACACGTCAATAACTACGTTAAATGTCACAATAAATGAGTATGGTGATGGAGAATCGTTTATACCCCTGTTTCTACGCCGCTTTGGAGTGTTTAGCGGCTTGGCAAATAACACATCAGTTACCACATTCAATCTGACACTCAACAGTAGCAGAGACGTGACTGATGACTGGTCAACAGGCCTTCCCGTCGTCTTGATGAAAAACAAGTCATTAACTACTCTGAGATTAAAAGTGAACAACCATTGTGCTACAGGTGAAAGTCGTTTACATGACTTTAGCAAACTTTTAATAGTAAGCAGATCATTATCCTTACTTGAACTCGATGTAAGTTTCTATGGAAAAGAGAGTGGGTGCCATAAGGTTTTAATTCAGTAGAATAATACAGCTGAGATTTATGTGCTTTCCAGTCCGCAGGAACATATGTCAGTATCAAATGAAATGTAATCTACAATAGAAATGGGCTTAATTATTTATTATTTCGTGAATCTTGAGGCCACCGTGACAACCGACCCTTAAAAATGAGGATTCTAATTAAAAAGGCAAAATGGTCCATCTAAAAATTCTTTCAATTGGACCTTTAGTGTTTGTTTCAAGTTTGGACATTTTCTTGTTTTCTCTGTTTGGACATTAAAACGACTCTCCAGTGGTCCCGCTGACATGTTGCGTAACCATTCTAGTCTTCAATATAGTTCCCCGATCACTATATGACTTTCTTCAAGTCATTCATATTCATTAAAAAGTTAGTCACAAATCCAGCTAAACGAATCTAATTTTTGCTACCTTAAATTAGGGCCAACCGTGATCATTTGAAGGTCACAGAAAATCATTCTGTTTCAAGCCACATCACACACGTTTCCTTTGACACCGGGATTTTTTCTTGTGGAAGCCCAGCCTGAAGTCCGTTATGTTCACACTACTCTGTATAGCGTTAAGGTTACCAGATACCTTCAGGCGTGTCTCACGTGCAAGTAATGTAGGCTATTTTTTCCTGCGGAAGCCCAGCCTGAAGTCCGTTATGTTCACACTACTCTGTATGGCGTTAAGGTTACCAGATACCTTCAGGTGTGTCACACGTGCAGTCGAAAATGGCAAAACCCGGACACGTTCTTAGCGCTTTGACTTGCGAAAGACTAGAACAAATTAAACTAGTGAAAAACCAATCGCTTTGAGTTTTAGCTTTCGAAGGCTGATTCGGGCGCACGCATTAAAAATCGTTTTAAAAAACGGACAATTTAAGTTTTATACAGCATAGTTTGAACATAACTTTGAAAATTGCACTTTGTTGCTCAGTCTCGTTAAGTCTCCTATGGTCAATTCAACTTTCCTGGTTGCATGATGTCACACAATCCCATTCCTCGTGAATCTGTTTCAGCTTTTTTAGGTCCATTTATATGGAGAAAAAATGTACCGGGTAGAAGTGTCGATCCGCCGCCTACCCGAGCTACCCTGGGTAAGCCAACTTTTCATACGTTCCCTTAACTTTTTAAACCGTAAGAGTGATCAGCATCAAATTTCGCCTAGTAATATCAATGCTTTGTAAAACAAAGTGGTAAGGAGAATTACAGACATGATCACACAAGATGAATTTGCTTGATATTTTATCAACTTCCCCCCACTACTTCTCTTAGAAATGAATAGGGGCATCAAATGAGAATTGAAATTTTGATCTTATGGTTTAACGGGTTTTAAAAAAAGTGGCGAACCGTGTAAATGTGAAAAAAAAAGTTGGCTTGCCTAGAAGGGTGACCCGCCTAGCCGCCTGTTCACACTTTTGTGATGGTAGGGTCATCCTCCTAGCTGATCCAACGTCTCTCCCTGCAAACACTTTGGCTCGCCCAGCTGGGTCAACTCGGTCAAGGAGAGACAATCAAAGAATGTGCGAACACTGTTGGCTCGGACAAAGGGGTCAACTACTTTTTCCGTTGACTCAGCTGAAGGGTGACCCTCTTTTTCGGGACAACTTTGCTTTATTTGAACGGGGCCTAAAGGGATGAAATAAAACTACAGTGTAGTGTTTGATTTGAGAGCATCAAGCGGTTGACACTCGTTAGTGCTGTGAAGGAGTATTTCTGTGTACATATTTTGAAATTTTACATTGTTTTGAGTCTCAGACTGAGCAGGCGGGATTAGCTCAGTCGGTAGAGCGCATGCCTGCAGAGCGGGAGGTCGCGGGTTCGATTCCCGGGTGTGGACCATTACTCAGGGTCTTTTAAAAATAACTGAAAAATGAAGGTAATCTCTTTGCACTTCAAGCGGCTGAACTTTCGCGTGGCTCGGATGACCACGTAAAATGGCGGTCCCGTCTCCAGTAGGAGACGTCAAAATAGTGTCTCCAATTAGTACTTTCGTCGTAAATACATTTGGACTCAAGTGGAGTTGTACGCCTTCTGGTCCAGTGAGGCCAAGGTTAATACCTCTCGAGTTACTAGTAGTTTTAGAGTTTGATAAATATTGTAACTTAAAATTGTGACTTGTGCGCCCTCTGATCCAGTGTGATCAAGGTTAATACAGCATGAGGTCCTTGTAGTTTTAGGAATTGTCAAATATTGAAACTAACGATTGGTATAGTATTCCTATATTTTAATAGAGTTTATTTGGTAGTGACAAATATAAAGAAAAGACATTATGATTTATATATTAAAATATTTAAGCTGTGTTTCACCATTATTTAGTTTAGTTGGCGTTTAGCCAAGAGCGATCTTTATTTGTTAATCAGCAATGAACATTTATTCCAAACAAGCAAGAGAGAACATTGCAAACTACCTTTATCATCAAATGCGCCAAATTTGGTTTTTAGTATAATGTACTGAGTCTCATTTTATTAAAACTCAACGAAATAAAGTTTTGTAAAGTAAAAATGTCTAGTATTAAATTCTTTTTTGTAAGGCCTAGGCCAAACGCCGAACTTTTCATGAGACGAAACAAACTTAATGAGTTAAGTTCATGAAAAGTTGGACGTCTGGCTCAGTTACGTTTGTCTGAATGAATTTAAATCGTCCAAAACGTTGTATCCATCTGCTTCAGACGGATAGAAGGTGTGAAGATCGTCTCCGGGAGATCCGTCGACCTTTACTTTCAACGAGCTAAACCAATAAATGAAAAAGTTGTATGATAATGTATATTTAGCCTCGTTTGGGAGAAAAGTTATTAAATTGCGTTTTGATCAGTTCGACGCGTCCTTAGTTCGACGTTTGGTCCCAGCAGACGATCTTAACTTATTTTAGCTCGACCTAAATTAGAGTTTGGTTCGTCTCGTGAATAGTTAAACGTTTTGACTCGGTCTAATTCAGCTTACATTCGTATTCTCAGGAGCGATCAGGAACTAGCTTGTAGTCGTGGAACATGCGTCAGGGGGAGATTTTCCTCTTCCTGTATGAGCCCCGATTTCTTGCTAGTTCCAGACCATCAAATATAATAGGGAAGTGGTGTATTTACGGTGTGAGTTTTATGGTGCCTACATGTACCTTGTTTTTTTCCCTCAATATGGCTTCTTGGGGTCGTTCATTTAATTTTAGGTAACACCCTGAAGTGCCTTTAAAATATTCACAATCAAATACTCGCGAAAGTCCTGTAAAGAGCATAGTTATTGGCCGTGTTCGCACCACAGACGGATTATAAGTCTGAGAAGGGTTATCCATTGGATAATTCGCGTCATACAGATAATACCTCTTAATTTGAAAATGGAACGGTTTTAATTTCGGATGAACAATCCGCCTGACTTTGTCCATCTGTTTATCCGACAATTTTGACAGATTTTGAAGATGAATTATCCATCTTAATACCGGTAACAGGGGCAAAGGGAGGATATAACGAGAACCGCGCGCTACTCTTGCAGCACAGTTTCAGGGCACGTGATTGTTAATCGGGAGACTCGGGTTCAAAAACGGTTGGGCCATCAATCCGGGACACGAAATAACATCCTTCTGGGTGAGCACAAATACCTTTGCGTCAGCTTAGATGTTCTCAGCCATGAGCCAGTGATACTGAGGCCTTGGGTTTGAATCTTACACCTGCCCAATCTTAGTCGCGGTAATTGACTGGAACTAGTTTACAATCGAGGCTCACTCATCTAATTACCACGCATTAGGCTATGTTTCATGCTAGTTGCAGTCACCTATCAACACTACAAATGCGGCCTATTTAGTAAAAGCGTAAGTAAAGTCTCCGCTTTTCGAAAACAGCATTCGCCATTTGCACATCTCTTGTAATACACCTTGTTTATCCCCCAAAATTTTGCAGAATTTTTGTTTTTAATTTCTCCTGGGTATTATAGTCACCTCAAGAAAAATTGAAGACAATGCGTCTAGAAAATGTTTGGGGGCCAAACAAGGTGTATTGTGGGAGATTTGCAATGGAGAATAGAGCCTCGTCCCGTTTGTGAGTTCCAGCTGTCATTGTGTGTGTGAAAGAGAAGGGAGTTATATCAAAAGGTGGGTGTCCTGTTTCATATTTGCCACTGGTAAAAAACTCAAAGTGGCATTTACAACGTTATAACTTCATTTCTTTCATCACCCTCGCTACACCCATGTTCGGACAACAAACAACATAAGAGATTATGTCAGAGATTAAACAAAAAACTTAAGAGACTATGTCAGTAGGACTAAAACCTCGCCTCTCGCTTTCTATCATCAGTACTAACAAGGCTTTGTCCTTGGTCCTCTACTGTTTACCGATACGCTATGCGCAGACGACGTTGGCTTATTCGTTTCTTCCAAATCCATTCATAGCATCTAATCACCCATGCTCGAAAAAAAAGACACTTGAAAAGGCCTCGCTTATGTTAGTAAAACTTAAGCAGAATAGTAATAGTGGAATGGAGTATTATTTGTGGATGCGAAATCCTGACAGCTGCGCCAGTTTGTATTGTCCATTATAAGACCTTGTAACCCTTCTTTTAATGACATCTTTGTTCTTGCCCTTTTTTTAATTTTAATGTTAGATCGATCAGGACTGCCTATTATCCTGGAGCTAGCCTATTCTTAGACGGTCTTCTTAGCCTCCGTACCAAGCGTTTTCGTGCGGTTTCGGGCGAAGAGGGACGAGGAACGAGAGCGCGGAGTTCAGATTGTGGGGACCGGAGTGTGTTTTAAAAAGCGTACACGGGGAAAACGAGGGGAGATGTCCTCTCGCTTTTTTTTCGTCGTCATTTTTTCGCCGGCGCTCTTAGGCTCCTGGCTCTGTATTATCCTGGATTCTACTCAGGCACCCAGCGAGGAGTAGGCTGACATGAAGGTCCGCTTTTTTTTGTTGGTATTCCTTGTTTTTTTCTTTTTTGCTGCTTGTTACTGTCACTTTTTTACAATTTGTTGGGTCTTCTTCACCTATAAGTATCACATTAGAATGTAAACAAATTGTTCCATTTTCTGCGCATCGAA